TATAAATCAATAAATATATAAATACATCAGTGAGCTATGGGGAGTGTCTGTGTCTGTGTGTATCTGTCTATACAGGCACAAACGCACACACGCACCTATAACTCAATGATGTTCTATTAGCCAGAACTTCAGTTATATACTTCAGTGCATAAGATGCACACAGTTTGGTTGGAGTTGTATAGTTGCTGCTGTTATGTGCTATTAAGTCAGAACCAACCTATAGCAACTCTAATAGTGCTCTCAAGAGAAGTGGGGTATTTAAGGAGTAGTGTCTTTCAGTTCCATGCCCCCAGTGAGCCTCTGTGGTTGAGCATACATTCAAACCTAGGCGTCCATCACTCTGTCTCCTACACCACCCTGGGCTGGAGATATATATAAGAGGTCAAAGGAAAATTAAATGCCTAAGATACTGACAGTACATTCACATTGTCAGGCAAAAACAAAACAAAAATAAAGAAAAACCCAAAAAGACTGTTATATTTTAATGTGAGCTTTCATGGACAAGTCCACTTCTTCAGACCTTCAACCACATCATTCTCACTGGCCATTTACAAGACTGCAGCTGAGAAAACAAACATCCTGACACTATCAAAGCCAGTTTATGTAAGCGATGAGATAAGAATCTATTGTCCCTTTTCAAACAGCTTCTGATACATCTAGAACTTCTTAATGAATTGTAATGCATCCGTCTCTCTCCTTTCCTGTCCCTTGTGTCCTTTTAAGGTTTTGTTATCTAGCATCACAACAGCTCCTGTGGGGTCTGATGGGAGGCTAAAGTGTGTGTTCTTTCACTTTAATTTTTTTAAAAAATTATATGGCTATTTTTGACGTCACATTTGTTTGTACTACCCTGTTTCCCTGAAAATAAGTAAAAAAATTATATGGCTAATTTTGACGTCACATTTGTTTGTACTACTCTGTTTCCCTGAAAATAAGACCTAACCTGAAAATAAGCCCTAGTATGATTTTTCAGGGTCCACTTAATATGTAAGCCCTACCCCAAAAATAAGCCCCATCTTAAGCCCTACCCCAAAAATAAGTGGAAACCCCGCCCTCCACCATTGTGCAGCAACCAGAAGATGATGACATGACTGTATTTGAATACAGTAAATGTAGATTGTTGTACATGTAATAAATGAAAGATCCCCTGAAAATAAGCCCTAATGAGTTTTTTGGAACAAAAATTAATATAAGACTGTCTTATTTTCGGGGAAACACAGTAGCTTTTGCACTAAAACAGTACAGTTTGCCCTGTGTGGAAGGCAGGAGGGTGCTGCTTTCGGAAAACTGTGTATCAGTCTGGAAAAGAAGTAAGTGAATGAACTCCTGCTCTTGTGGGTGACATTTAAGCCTTGTAATGAGGTTCTCTAACCTTAACTTGAGATGATATAGACAAGCTGACCCTCACAAACTAAAACCAAAGCTAATCAATATTGAAAAAGGTTAGCTATTCTGTGTTTTCAAAAGGTAAACAGGCTAGTCAGATTAAACTGCATGTTGGAGATACCGTCCTATATTTACATATTCCATTGACTTCAGTCATAGAGATGTCAACATAGTAAAGAACATGTACACACCTAGAAAGTGATAATTCACTGATAAGAAGAATAAAGTATTTTACAATTGTCTAGATAAATGATCTCTATGAATGAGCTGTAAAGCTATGACACATATCACAGACCTTCTCCACCCTTGGCTGCCATCCATAAAACAAAGAATTTCACTTTTCAATTTAAAAAAAATATATGCAATTTTTAATATATTTTTTTCATTCATGTTTTTAATGGCTTTTTTTCCCTGTCACTTTTGGTATGCCATGATCCTGTATCACACAGACTGATATTAATAGGGAAATTATTTTTTAAAAAACAATTAATTAACGGTTTTAGTTTTTAAACCCCAAATGAGTTACCCTTTACTTACCTTGTTAATTAATTAATTAATTAATTGCTCCTCTAACAATAAAAGTAACCCAAACGTTACACCATAGACCAAACAAAGTTATCACAATGGTAATGTGACATTTTATTAAAAGGGTTAATTACAAGTTACTGTATTACTAAGTTCAGAAAAGCTCAAGGTCTTAATTGGGGAACACAAGAAAAAATGTATGAGTAAAGCAAATGCAGTGATAGGTTTGGTCTTTCTTGGACTTCTGGGTTCAGAATTCCTTTTGGGATTTTCATATTCAGAGTTGCCTGGTCGCATTTTTGAACTGGTGATAGGGATTATCCAAGGTTCCCCCTCCCCCCCTTGAATTGTGCTGTTATGTTGACCGAGTCCCTGATCACACTTATGCCCAATGATCCAGTGTATACAAGTACTTACTCGATCCATATGAATATCGATCCTGGATCTCAAGATGAAGTACACCATAGGGAGGTCGCACATTATGCTTACAGCATTTAATACAAGACTATGATTTGAATCATAGGGGACGTGTTGGCACTGCGGGTTAACCGCAGAAGCCTCTATGCTGCAAGGTCAGAAGACCAGCAGTCATAAGGTAGAATCCATGATGGAGTGAGCTCCCGTCACTTGTCCCAGCTCCTGTCAACCTAGCAGTTCGAAAGCATGTAAAAATGCAAGTAGATAAATAGGTACTATGTCAGAGGGAAGGCAATGGCATTTTGTGTCTAGTCATGCTGGCCACGTGACCACGGAAACTAGAAACGCTGGCTCTATGGCTTGGAAATGGGGATGAGCACTGCACCCTAGAGTCAGACACGACTGAACTAAATGTCAAGGGGAACCTTTACCTTTACCTACGATTTGAATAGCAGAAGTGTTGCTTTATTATGAACTATGTAAGGCTGTGAAATATACAACTTTGATACAGAAGAAAAGGTTGGTTACACAGATCAATTTAGCTTGGACTGTCCCCTCTCTATATTTTACCTATACAGAAACATATAAAAAGTATGTAGTGGAAAGAGAGAAGAAGTTAATTCTGAGAAATAAGAGAAAAGGTGGAATTGAAGCAGAGGAAATCAGAATGTAAGTAGGTTAAGGAGAGGGCTAGAATCCACAGGAAAAAACATGACAGTACAACTCCTACCAGGATATGCATGGTCTTCAGACAAGTGTATGATAAGGGACTGAATCAAGGGTATTTTCTAAAAAAAACATTTTTATTAGCTTTCAATAAATATATAAAAAGTGACTACAGCTGAATAGATCTCTATATGTACAGGGGATAAAACAGAAGAAAAAAAGAGAAAGAGAAAATAAATAAATATTCTCTGGCAGGTGCTTCTCTAGCCATGCCAGGCAAGTGTAGGGTACAGTGAAACACTTGAATTTGACAGCTCAGATTCCAGCTCTAGAACTTTCTATTTTTCTTTTCTTCTCCAGCTTAGTTTACTAAACTTTAAACTACTAGAATGTGTGACAGTGTGATTGTGGACGCGTGCTTGCATTCTTTTTGTGCGAGCTTTGAATGGCTGAGTCAGAATTAATGTTGTGAGCTCTGTCTTCCCCTCCGCTTGTCTTGCTCTCCCCCTTCATTCCTCTTCATTTTATTTGCTGGTATACTGGTGCAAACTTCACTATCTGCTGGCCTTTGCAGCATTGCCAGAATGGTAAATGTGGGGAGAACTTAAATTACACCTTCCCTCAAGTATTTAAAGATTTGAATTTCTCCATTACTGGAAACCTGGAAATGCATAAATTCTGTCAGAGATCCAGGCAAGACCCAGGGCTGGAGTGTCACCAAAATCAATCAATCAATCAATCAATCAATCAATCAATCAATCAATCTATCTATCTATCTATCTATCTATCTATCTATCTATCTATCTATCTATCTATCTATCTATCTATCTATCATGCTGTATTTGTCCCCATAGGGCACTCAAGATGGCTCACAGGCATTTAAAACAACACAATAGTTACAATTAAAAACACCACAAGATAGAATATTAAAATAACAAGCTAGGAAAGTTAGGAAACGTTGCCTTGAAAGGTGAATTGGATGAATTTGCCCTGTTGCCATGTATAATGTAGAGTTGAGATGTGATACAAATGAGAAGTAGAGATTTTCCAAGGAAATTCCCTTATGTTCTTTTTGCTTTCTGAGATGTCTACTGCACAAAGCCGCTTAGAGATCTAGAATGCTGGCTCATGTCCCAACCAAGGTTATCAGAGTGGTGGACAAACACTGTTTATCACTTCCTCTTTGCACTTACCTCCCAGATATCACCAATCCAGACATGGGGGAAACTTTATAATATTTTCTATGCAAATTAAGAGTGATACTTAAGGTGGAGTGAATCTCTAAATCAATACCTGAATGATGTAGGCAAACAATAATTAAGGTATAAATTGGTATGTGATACTATTCTCAATTTAGAGCCTTTCTTTCCAAGGATTGGAAGCAACCATGGATCAGAAAGGGATCTGGTTACTCTCGTTCATTTTAGTTTTAGGACTCAGCACAATAATAGAAGCGAAGACAGCACCACGTAAGTACTGATACCCTTGACCTTCAGTTCTTTCTAGCAGCATAATCTCAGGGAGAAGCTTTAGGTATTTGCAGTACTACAGTATTACAAGCAGGAACATTTGCAGCTCAAGTGAAAACATTATGTTTTGAAGGCAGACCTTGTACGCAGGGGTCTGCAGAAGGTGGACCATGCTGTTGTGAAATGTAAGGAAAGATGGGAAGCCCATAATAAAATCCAGAAGTTCCATACCTAGCTCTTCCCAGTTTTAATTGGAAAGTACCACTCCCTGTAGATTTCACAACATGGTAGCTAAGGGACCATTAGCAAAAGGCAAGGGGGTCCATCAGCAATCTGGCACTCCAAGGACTGCATACATCCTGCTGCCCAGGAGATGTGGCCTCCAAATGAAGTCATGGCTTCATCTGTAGTGATCATGCGATCAATCCTGAGTCTCAGTGCTGATGCACAGGAATCAGCTGTCTTCTCTGGACTGATATTGGGAGTTGAACATTGATTGTGCAGGCTCAGCAGAGACCTTCCAAAGATCAGCCTGTGAGACACGGCACATCGTGTGCTCTTAGATCAGGTTGGAAGCTTATGTGCTCTTAGAGCAGGGGTCTCAAACATGTGGCCCAGGGGCCATTTGCGGCCTGCCAGATGATAGTTTGTGGCCCCCACCTTGCCTGCCCCCCCGAAGCGCCCACCATCCTCTGCTGTCAAGAGTCAAAAAAAGCCTCTCCTCGCTCGCCAGCTGCCTCCCAAGACAGCGCCTCTTGCACCCTCCATCTGGAACAGGAGCCTGCCAGCCTGCCTGCCCGAGTGTGCCTTTTTTTGAAGGGGCCCCTCAGAGGAAGGTTGCTGAACCTCTGTGTGTGTGTGTGTGTGTGTGTGTGTGTCTGTGTCTGTGTCTGTGTCTGTGTGTGTCTCTGTGTGTGTCTGTGGGGGCCCACCCTGTTGTTTAATGTCACGGGTACCGATGGGGGCTTTTCTCCTTTGGCAAGGCGATTCTGTGAGGCTTTTAAAAAAAATTATGTCGTGCCTCCACCCCGCTAGGCGGTTGCCAGCACTGCCTCCCTTCTCCGCTTCTTAGTCCTGCTGCTGGTGTTGGTAGTGAAGAAGGAGCTGGAGGGGGTCATGGCTGGCGACAAGGGCTTGCACGCCCCTCTTTCTCCTCCTCCTCCTCAGAGGCCCAGCTGGGGTAAGGAAACTCCTGGGGAGCTTCCTCGGGCTCTTGCTCCACTTGGCGGAAAATCTCACCCAGACTCTGCCTCCAGTGGCCGCCAGGTAAATTGAGTTTGAGACCCCTGTCTTAGAGGTTGTGCGACCTTAGATTATGCTGGATAGCTGAACCCTAGGAGGCTTATGGTAAAGCAGTGAAGCTCTTAATATCCTTGTTCTGTGGATTACTGTGCCAACAGTGAAGTATGAGGCGCAAAGGCTGCTAAACTAATTCGGCAGTGAGGAACTGCTTCAGCAGTGCAGCATTAAGGTGAATGGATGACTGAGGACATAGCAATGTCAGAAAATAATGCTAATCTAATGAGATATGCTTGAGGGTGGTAATGCACTGAGAAGAGCTACCACGGCCAGCTCTACCATTAGGCAGAGGAAGGCAATTGTCACAGCTGGCTCATAACAATGCCTCCTGAATCTCCTGGCCATCCTGCAGTATCTGCAGTGCACTTCCTAAAGTAGCTTGCTGCTCTCCGGTGGGGGGTGGGGTGGTAGAAGATACTGTCTCCTTGCCACTGTTCTTTCAGTTGCTAGTTCAATTTGTTTCTGTTGAGTGTGGAATGGGGTTATTTTGTCCACTGTCTCAGGAAACAAAATATCTCGGGCTGGGTGAGATAGCCACTGTTAAGCACAGCACAGGTATGGGGAGGGGGGGAGAGCCTCAAATGGCACAGAAATAGATGGAAAGAGCATGGTATGTATCAGTCTTAGAATGATTTGCCAACATGGTATTTTAAGAGAATGTAAGAAGAGCTAACCATGATTTCTGTTCTCAACAGCGGAGTGTAGATGCCATGTAGATCCCAAAGCAAGGACAAACTGTGGACCTCCTGGAATCAATGCTGAGCAATGCAGAAACAACGGATGCTGCTTCAGTTCAGAAGTCCCAGGAGTGCCCTGGTGTTTTACTCCATCTCCTCCACAATGTAATGTATTTTATGAAACACCTCGAATTTTTTTTCCCATAACAGAGGAACTGAAGGTTAGACAGATGAATACATTCCCCTTCTAGAAATAAATTATTTAATAGGCAAGGATGTGCCATTTGTTCTGTTTTGCTTTTGTTCTCTAATTCTCAGAACTCCCCAAGAATTCCCCAGGCAGAATTCTGGTTTTTGTTCTCTAATTCCCAGAACTTCCCAAGAATTCCTCAGGCAGGATTCTGGGGGTTCCAGCTCACAGTCCTAATCTACAGACACCTATATTTCATTCTCCTGAAGAAGGTCCCACCTCTGAGAGTCCATGGCTGTCTCAGGCCTTCCTTCCTGTTGTTCGTCTTGCTGCCTTTTAGGCGCTATGGAGTGTGCTTCCTAAAGATCCACCACTCCCAGGAAACACTATAGCAGCTTCCTTTTTTGGACATTCACATCAGGAATGGAGTCTGGACTAGACCATCCAACCTCTGAACTAGGCCCTTTTTCAGGTGAGTGAAAGGTAGATGTTTTTAGGTGTGGATCTTTGGGTTAGAACCCCTATAAATTCTGCTTCGAGTATTCTTGGAGAATTCAGGCAGTTGGAGTCAAAGGGGAAAAAAACACACCCAACAACTTCAAATGGTAAAATCCTTATTAATAGGCTTCTCACAGGTATGGTAGGTATTGCTGCCCAATGAATGTAAAAAAAAATAACTGCACAAGAAAGCAAAGCCTGATAGAACCAGAACTTGGGTTGAGGGGAAGACCCAGTTTTTGGATTACATCATATACACTCTAGCGTGATATAGCTAAACTCCAAAAAGTAACTTTTTCCAACTTAGACCAGATGACTGTTTCTTAGTCACTGGACTCATGCCCAATATAATTAATGACTTGTCTATATTTATGCCAGTTCCTGAGAGAATGAATTCATTTTGGTTCATAATAAACACCTATGAAGCACTAACAAGCAAAAACAAATGGATGCAAAGTCTAAGTTTGCAGAAGTCAAATGGCCATTTCATACCACAGCTTCAGGATGTGGTGTCCAATATGAAACCCAGAAATTTCAGTTTATTGCTCCAGTCCAGAAAGTACAAATAGTATTTCAGTTGTGTGAAATGTGGGTTGAGGCATGAGCAATTTCAGTGATGCAACAGAAGTATTACTGAAATGGTCTGCGCAGAACTGATCTAGTTCTAAGGCTCCATGGCTGTTTCAGTCCCTTATCAATGATACAAATCTACAAGCTCAGGCTATAGATGTTATTAAGATGATCAGCTAGGCTTTTGCAAACACATTTACACACAACTACATTGGTGGCCTCAAGACCCTTGAGGAAATTCTGGAACATTGCTGTCAGAGGTCATGTAAGATATTCTTTCCTCCATCAGTGACAGACCTGGAAAGAGGACATATATATGGATGTCAAATGCAGCACCGAGGTTCTTTTACTGCATAGTCACATCCACAGAACATAACCCAAATTATATTTAATAATCTACATGGACAGTTCATTGCTGAGATGGTTGTCTGAAAAGGCATATATTTCTAAGAGAGAGAATCATTTATATAAAACAGATTAATCAGGGATTATGGATTTGCTTTGTGTAGATACCCAGAAACAGAAATATATAAATATGTACATATTCAAACACTTCTCTCCCTCTCACCCCTCCTCTCCCCCTGCTTTCCTGTCTAGATTTATTCAGCTATTATAGCTCTGATCATGGTGGGATTGTGGGGTATACATAATCCTCCAAGGTCTTTCCCACCCAATGTCAATGTCTAGTGAATTGGTTGATAGCACTTCCACAATCAACAGTCCTGATAAGGCAGGGCTGCAGATTGTAGAAGGGCGATGAGCACATGCAGCTGAATGCATTTGCAAGGGCTGCTTCAGAACTTTATGTTGAACATGCAAGAACCTGATGGATATTGGAGAGAGGGGGTGTTGTGGTAGGATGTCCATGCATGCATGCTCTTGTCCCCACCATAGCTGCAGCCTTTACCTCGTAATGCCTGAATGTGACTTCTCTCATCAGCAGCCATTTTTCAAATCAGTGACCAAATTTTGAAATTGTGATCACGCTCCCCCCTCCCCCCCCCCCCCCCCCGGCAATAGATAAAAAGGTATGTCCTTCAGAAGTCAAAGTCAGACAGAACTGTGGCTTCCCTGGAATCTCTGCTGATGAATGTGAGAAGAGAGGATGTTGTTTTGAGTCCAAACCACCTGCTGTTCCATGGTGTTTCTTTCATACTTATGTAGAAGAAGGTAACCCAACAAACGTATTTTTCTTCTGTTGGATAAATACAACCCCCCCCCCTTTGTGGTACTAGAACACATGCTATTATTCATTTCTTATTCTTAGTATGTCATTTATATTAGTTGATGTCAAACGCTGTTTGTGTGTGCTTCTCTTCCGTGTTTATTGAATGGCTTAGGAAGTGAGGTACAGGTATTTGCTCTATTATATAAAAGCTTTTTTAAAAAAACTGGTTTCAAGCTTCTGACTCGTGGCTACTAGCTATCAACCAGTAGCTCATCTGCCAAAATGTAAAGAGGATTTTGAGCATAACCTTGCTAGTGTGTGAAATGAGCCTCTAATATACACCACCTTAAACTACATTGACCCAAACCAACATGAGGATGCAAAGCAAGAGACTGCTGTGCTGAAGAATTTAACAATACACGTGTGTAATTGGTCTTCCTTTGGGGTAGTTTTTAGTTAACCTTTTTATGTGAATGAAGTAGGAGAGAAAGACCTTGTTTCTCATATGCCTTTTTGTTTCTCTCTACATTTCAGAGTGCTAGAATGAACCTTTGGAAGATGAAGATTTTCACAAGGAATGTCTCTGTCAATAGAATCATTCAAGCAACAAAGCATTATGCCATACATTGTGCTCTAATAGATTTGATTTTCATGTCTATTTGCTTTACGTTCATGCCTCCTTACACTAACTCAGGCCAAAATCTTACACCCAGCTATGTAAGAGTAAATGCTCTTGAGCTCAAATATGTTTCCTTTTGAGTAGCTACATATGTGACTACCTTGTAAATCAACAGTTTTGTTATTTGCACTAACTCACTGCTTGTTCACTATTCAAAAACAATAAAATTATTATTCTGTTTTAATAATCCTATTTGCGATGCGGTAGTCATTCTGCAGTAGTCATATACAGCAGTCAACTCTAGCATCTATTGAAGATGTTGCTGGAGATAAGAAACTTAACTAGTTGCAACTCAGACTATTATGGGAAGCCTGGCTTTTCAGCCACTCAGAATCAGGACCATATTGACAGATTGGGAAGAAGTGGAAGAGTGGAGTCAGCTTGAAGCAGCTCAGTTAGAGCTTCGCCTGTGCTGAATCAGCACCTTATCCTGTTGTGCATGCTGGCATGCCTTGTGACTTGACCATCCTGATCCCTGACTCCATGGACAGCTCCTTGGCATCTCTCTTGAGGCACAACCACATAGCACAGGTGCTAGGGGAAGGTCACTTCATCTTAGGCCACTATCTAGGCACGCCTCTTCCAAAATTGGTGGGATTCAAACAATTACCATTGAGGATGATCCAGGCACTGTCCCTTTGGTGTGGGAAAAGGTGCTTCCCCAATTCTCCTGATCCTAAGAATTTTGGGCTCCCAAAGCTTAGGCCCAGCACTTTCAATTGTGCAGATGAGCAAGGATGCAACCATGTCTATCAGCTGATGGAAGCCGTGTTGTCCCTGATTTGAGAAGAGGTTTTTCCCCTCCTTGTAAAGCTCATGCAAACTCTCAATATTTGCCGAGGAAGGTTGGGACAGAACAGGCCATAGACTTGGGTTCACAGCTTCATGTAATGGAAAGGACTGGGGGGAGGGGAGGGAGGGAGAAATTCTCCTTGACGACTTGTGGGAGATCTGATGGCAGAGGACATTTCCTCTGGCAGAATTGACTTCTACCAATGGATAATACAGCATAAGACTTTACTTATTCATTTTACTGGAATGGCAAATTCCATTGGTTGGATACCAGTATTATTATATCCACCTCTAGTAGTTATTCAGCAAAAACACGGCCTATGACTAAACTGTTATCAGTGGAATCAAATCACAGTAAGCAAAAGAGACTCTCAACAAGAAAAATAATAATAAATGAAAAGCCCTTAAAAACTGCTTGAAGTCTCCTGGCCGCTGCTCTACAAATCCTATAACTGAAGCCTTGTTCTCTAAAGTAAGAACCACAGGGCTGGAAAGACAACACAGATGTTTATCAGCTAGACTGCTGGATCTTTTTTTAAAAATCATCTGTCCTCTTGGCAGTCATTCAGTCAGTCCCTCTAGGAGAGCAAAGGACGGTAAGCAAGAGCTGCCCAAGGAATTGTACTGATGCGGGAGGAAGAAGGAATACAGTGACAAGCTTGCCATAAGCCCTATTTGAGTGTTATAGTCTGTAATTGTGGAGAAGGAGAGAGGGATGTTTGCTCAAGCGGTCCTCCTTCACAGGGCTTTGGATTGCCTGGAGGTTCTCATTCAGGTGAATATGATTAGAGCTTCTCTTCAGACCTTTTCTGGTAAAATTGGGGGCGGGGGGGTTAGAAGTGGAAGAGACAGGTTGTCATGCATGTTCTTGGCTCCCTCCTCACAACTGTAATGCTAGATTAGGGCAATAGTCTATGAAGATGGCTTGTTGAAACCACAGCTCTTACCCAGTTCAAAATGCACTTGAAGAGGACTTCTCTGATATTAGTTCCCCTACCCTCTCCTCCAGTAACTTCACATTGATACTCTATTTTGGGGTGGAAACCTGCAATTCATGTACATGCATGCAAGCTATTTTACATTCTTGGAGTTCAGACTTTGGCTCCCTGTGGCAGTAAAAAAATAATCCTGAAACAATCCATTGCAGGTCCAGGGAGTGTCCTTTGCCACCCTGGGGCTACCTCTCCATTTAGGTTTTTGGGCATAAATGGCCAATTCATCCCATCAGCTCTTTTACACTGTTCTTTTAGATTAGAAACAGATGAAGAAATAGCCTTTAACTATAGCCAAAAATACGTTAATGTTGCAGGGAGACAACTGAGGCAGTCTTTCCATGTTTTTGAAAGTCATACAAAAACACAACAAACCCCATATCAGAGAAGCTGGGATGAAATTTAGTATTACCTTTTAGTTAGAGGGAGATGTTGCTTAAAGTTTGGGTGTTGCTAAGTGTCCTTTTTTTGGCTCTGGTTGACAATTCAGGCTATCTTCCATCACCCAACAATAAAGAAAAAAAAAGCATATGCCTCCATTCCAGGCAAAAAAGAAACAATGTGTTGGGTGGGTGAATGGGATGCAGAATGACCAGCAAGCCTTTCTCCAACAACATTAGGAGAGACATTCCACTCCACACCACCAGTGATAGAATCCAAACGCTACACCTCTAACATGAGTCAGCAGCCCCCTTTTTGAAACCTGCTTAAAGCAGAGAAACCTGGCCCTTCACATCCAGCCGTGATTTCTTTGGAACATTTCTGTTTATTCTGCATCACTCCTAGTTCCATGGTGCCCATGTTAAGAGTTTTGTTTGCAGTCATTCGTGTTGTCTGTGGCTTATTGTGACTTGTAGGGACTTTTCTGAGGTGATTGTATGTCTATCCAATCATTTCTTCCCCAGCCTTGGATTTCGAAGAGAGCTCTGCCCCTCAGCTGTGTGCTTTCCCACTTCTCTTAAATCTGTTGGTGGCAGTTGTTTGTTTGCTGTTAATCTGTCCAGTTGGTTGCTAAGTATATGTGGAGTAAAGAAAGCAGCATGAAAAAGTCTGTATTTTCAAGCATGTACAGTATAAATATGGTGGTGTTTTTTTTTTTAAAAAAAACTTTCTCCTACAAATGTCTCAGAGTGAGTCAAAAGTCTGCATTTTCAAGCATGTATAAATATGCGTTTTTTTTAAAAAATCTTTCTCCTACAAATGTCTCAGAGTGAGTTATTGAGATTTGAAGTGCCAGTTAATGAGAAAGGGGTGGTTTCTGGGGAACTTTGTAGCTAATCTCTTCTGTGAGTCTCAGCACTGTTACTGCGTAGCAAAGGGGAATTTTACCAGAAATTCAAAACTCTGCAACAGCCCAGATCAATGAAGAACTGTGTGGATCTAACTTCTGTGATTTTTTTCTTTATTGGTCTAATAACGGTATCATACCCTTTTGCCTTTGGACTGTGTACAACGACCTCACTGTTTTTTCTTGTTTTCTAATTGTATTCAATCAAAAGTACTTATTCCATAGGTAAGTCTCTGTCTGATATAACGTCAAGTCTAAAAAATATATTTATCTTAAAGTTATCAAAATTCTCAGAAGTGGGGATTGAAATATTGATTTTGTGAGATCATTGCTTTTTACAGCTATCACATGGCGTGTTGCAAAAGAAGGGAGTTGGGCAATGCACCTGCAAATGTTGGATTCTTCACTGCACAGTGATATTTCAGATAAAGGGAGTCCGTTAATGTGTAGTAAGGCTCACTTGCTTAAGGACAGACAAAGCCACAGTTCAGCGGTTTCTTCTCTTCTGACCACTGAACATGTGGGTGTTTTGCTTGGTTGGTTTTATTTGTAAGCCCGAGGAAGTCAAAAGTAGCAGCAACATGATTGTCACAGTAATCTATTTACACATACATTATTACTCCAGTCTACCAGCACCCAGTTATTGCCAATAATGATTACTTATTGACCAATTAATGACAGAAGTTTCTACACTGGGGAGGGGGGGACAGGAAGAAGGATGGCTTCTTGTATCTTATAAGTGGTCCTGTTCTTCTTACTTCTGGTGACCTGCTCATTCGGTAAATTGAGAAGTGCCTGCTCCCAGTTGGGTAAGTTGCATCTTTCTGCTCTGCTATAAGATTAAGTCCATAAGCCAGCAATAAGTAATTAAGTGGACATAGTTCAAGCCTTTTTATTTTCATAGGCTACCTCTCAACTGAATTGAGACTGAGGCATAATGCAGGAGAATAATCTTTCCCCAAACTGGAGCTTCTTTAGAGTAAGAAAGCAGCATTATACGTATGTTAGCCATGCAATGAGATTTTTGACAAGACTATTTATTACAGTGCAATAATAGTGCTAAAGACACTATTGTCCAAATGCTTCCACCTTTTTCTTATTTTATTTTAATCATACGCATATAGGTTTATTCTTCCTCTAAAATACTGCACTTTAAAGCATCATTAAAAAAGAAACATCTTGTTGCACCTTCAAGGGTAACCTATTTATGGTAACATTGGTGCTCACAGTTTACAATCAACTTCCTCAGAGGGAGTGGATATGAAACCATGAAAGCCTGTGCTTAAATAAATGTTTTAGCCCTAGAAATGCTGCGAAACATGTTTCTTTTATGCTAGGCTGCAATGCTGGCTGCTGAGTTCAGTGAGTTACAGAGTCCGAGGTTGAAAATTCAATTCCCCAGGAAACGAGCCAGCTTGTTGCAGCCTTGGGCAAGCTGCACAGTCCTAGAGGGCTCCTAGAAAAAGGAATAAGCTTTAAATGGAGTCAGTCTAGGAATAGATAGAAATTTATGGAATTAAGAACAATCTAAGAAAGAGCTACACATTCCTCCCATTCCCTGGATCTAATTCCTTTTATTTTTTAATTTTTATTAAACAAACATCCAACCTAAACAACATAAACCTAACACTACAATAAAAAACAATTACACAATAATTGTTATAATTGTTATACAATGATGGCACAATAAATAAGTGCCACCATCACCCTCAGGGCTAGGATTAATAACATTTTAAATTTCATTCAGTCCAGTTTCTCTCCAAAATTTCATTGTTTCTTCCCTCGGTGTATACCCCTTCCCTCTCCGAAATACATATTCCAAGAATACACTCTGTATTTTCTTAAAATCATTATTTTTGATAGGCCTCTTCTTATTTTCATATTACATGTCTGTTTATCATGTAATATGAATCCCTGGATCAGAGTGGACTCTGGTTCTTCCCATGCCTTAGACATTTACATGATGAAGTGTTATAGGTAATGGAATGAGCCATAGCTTCCAGGATGTAAAACATGTGTTAGAGATGGGAGCAATGAGGAAAAAGATGAAAAGTGCAAAAAGAGGACAGTCTGTGGGTATGGGAAGAATGGAGAAGTCAGATGAAATATACAGATGAGGAAAGATCCCAGCAGTGAATTTCCCAAGCACACTCTATTCACTGTGTGTATATTCTTGTCTATGAATGGAATCTTCATGCTCCAGAATACGGAGGAATGAAAATCATTTGAAAAAGTGGCCTGCAATCCACAAACTTTTAAATAGACTTTTATTTATTTTAAATACAATTTATTAATACAAATTCACTCATTTTTAAATGAAATGTTATCAGTCTTTAAGATGCCACAAAGATTATATTTTTGGAAGGATTTTGGGGGTGGATAAAGGAAAAGGAAGATGGTGATTACAAGCAAAAACTTGTAAGATACAGTGGTGCCTCGTTAGACAGTTACCCCGCATGACAGTTTTTTCGCTAGACATTGACTTTTTGCGATCGCTATAGCGATTCGCAAAACAGTGATTCCTATGGGGGAATTTCGCTGGACAAGGTTTGGTCCCTGCTTCGCAAACCGATTTTTGCTAGATGACGATTTTGACAGCTTCCTCCGCGCTTGCAAAACGGGTGTTTTCGGGACCTAAGCTTTGCAAGACAGCCATTTAAACAGCTGATCGGCGGTGCGCAAAGCGGCTTTCCTATGGCCGATCTTCGCTAGACGATGACGATTCTTCCCCATTGGAACGCATTAAACAGGTTTCAATGCATTCCAATGGGGAAATGTTTTTCACTAGACAATGATTTCGCTAAACAATGATTTCAGTGGAACGGATTATCATTGTCTAGCAAGGCACCACTGTATAATGGTTCCTTGGGGAGGAGTGCAGTAGTATTTTGTGTTTATGTAATAAGTAAGTTTTATGTGTTAGTATTATATGTATTTTGGTTTATAAATAAATTATTTAAAATTTCGAAATTAAGAATTTAAAAATAATATTAATTTAAAAAGATGCCACTAAGATCCTTCATTCCTTCCAATGTTGCAAGAAGTTGTAATTTCTTTGTCTTCCCTTCACAGGAAACTAATCAAATCTTTACATAATTTTCATTGACTTGGACGGCTGAAGGTCCTAATCAAACATGAACTGCAAATGGCTTTGGCTCATGGCCATTGTTCTAATTTTAGGATTCAGCAGTTTGGCAGATGCTAGAAGGATAAGGCCACCACCACGTAGACCACCAAGTAAGCAGATGGATTTGAAATATTTATATAGCTGTTTTTAAAAGTAAATTGATCAAAAAAAAATTCATTCTGCAGCTGTGCATCACAGCTTGAGCTTCTGCGGGTGGGGTTGCCAGATCAGCAGCATATTACTCTGTGAGAAATTAAGCCTGAAATCCCATCTTGGGGGAAGGTCCAGTGATGTCACAGAGGCCGGGCAAGCAAACATGAGAAAGTGACCAGAAGTCTTTCCAGACCAACTGATTACATACATGATTACATCAATTACATCAACAGAAATTGGTGAAATAAGCCCAGAATTCAGAAAAAAACAAAATGGCTAACCAAATAACATGGCAAGCAAGAGCCAGGGGGAAAGTCCTAGACACCTTGGGCTCAGCTATCTGAGGGTCCATATCTTCCCATATAAGCCTTCCTGTGTTTTGTGATCTTCAAGGGAAAGCTTTCTCTCAGTCCCGTTGCCTTCAAAAGCATGCTTGGTGCAGACACGAGAGGGGGCTGCTCCCAGGCTATAGAACTCCTTGTCATGGAAGACCTGTCTTGATTTCTTCATGATGTAGTTCTGCCAGGGAGCAAAAACCTTTCTTTTCAGAGAAACTTTTAAAAGTACATTGCTGATCAGGGAAGTATTTGAATTGGAGAGTTCTCTTTTTATCTTTTTGGAAATGTGTTTGAAAATCATTTTAAAGTGATTTTATTGAGTACTTTTGATGATTAATACATTTGTTAATATTGCAATGTATTATACTTTTAATTGTTCTAATCTTGGATTTGTTTTAAATTTCTCGTAAGTTACTTTGATGGGATATAAATTAGGAAACAAAGAAATAAATAAACCTCATTTTTTAAAAAAATTGTTGCCCAAGCACCAAAGTGTATGCAGCCACCATAGTAGCTGTTGTTGGAGTTTTAGCAATGTTTGTATGCTGCATTCAAGAGGTATGCATTCAGAGAGACCTTTCTGAGCTGAGGTGTCCATCAGTCAGTCCAGCAGCAACCAATTGTTCCCTCCCAGCCTCTGATTTTGAAGAGAGCCACACCTCTCTGTTTAAAGGATCTTTTCCTCTCCTTTTCGCTGTCCATTTGTCTTATGTAGTCAGGCAGCAGTTATGTAGTCAGTGATATCCAGTTTATGCAGTTTAAAATGTAGTCTGCAGGAGCCTGCTAAAAACAGGTTATTAGTTAACATCTGTTTGTACAGCCTCTCATTTTAAGGCAGTACAACATGCTGTTTTTGATCTGTTTAGAACTACAGTATATGTAATTGGAACATTTTATTCTTTCTCTTACCAAGGTCTCAGAGTGAGTTTTTGAGACCGTGTCAGTTGATGAGACAACCAAAAAGGGGGGGTCTCCTCTGGGAAGATTTGTAGGTCCCTGCAATATCTGCTGTGTAACTAGAGATTTTTCACCAAAAATTCACATTCAGCCAAGAGTTGTCATCATTCCCACTAGGTCTCCCATCCCACTCAGTCTTACGGGCAACACATACAGCACATGGGAGTTTTTCCAGGCCCAGTGCTGTTTTGGGGCTTTTGGAAAGTTCACTGCCAGCAGACCATTAATTGTCTTCCAGTCCTTGTGTTGCTGCCACCACCACTGCTTCTGCCAGGACTTGCGCAACAAGAAAACTCACATACAAAAATAAAACCTTCCCCTCCTTCAGCATCACTTGCCCCTGAGGTTGTTTTCAACACATGGAGACCCAAGGAAGTTCAGCCATTTTTTTGACATTCCAGCCACCACCCTGAAACCTGGCAACTGTATCCATGAGAGGGATCTACCCTTGCACAAGGAGATGCCTATCACCTCAGTGTTTAGCTCACCCTAGTTGCGGACTATAGATTTAAAGTTAATTGCAGCTTCTTTCTTGCCCTGCTCCAGTGACAGTGCAAATTAAGTTGAAAAAGGCTGTAAGTATCATTATTCTTATTCGTTTTGTTTATTTATTATTAGTTTTATTTTATTTTAATAATAAATAAATAAAACGAATAAGAATAATGACACTTGCAGCCTTTTTCAACTTAATTTGCACTTAATTTGCACCGTTATGTTGCTAACATGTTCCACCCCAGGCAGTACAGCTCCTCCTGGACAGACCATCCACACTCCCACATGAATCTCTGCAGCAAGGAAAGTTCCTATGTATACAGTATTTCGAAGTTTGCAGGCTCCCCAGGTGCTCAAAAACTCTGGTCAGACAACATCTCAAAATCTAGAGAAGCTGGCATGGAAAGAGGTCTTACTTCCAGAAGACCAATCACATACACACACAAGGGTCCCAACTAGCAACTTGCAGAACTGGAAAAGAATGCTAATGGCCTGCCTCCACTGCCAGAATAAACTGGCTGAGGTATTGGGGGTTTGGGGATTCATGCTAAAGTTACATGGAGAGATAGAGGTGGGCAGGCAAGTGAGCAAGGGGAGGGACCGGGTCGGTGAAGGAGTGAGTGAGCAGGTGGGTGCTGCCTTTTTCAGAGAACACATTGCTTTCATTCC